TCCAAACTAGTGATTCTGTGATTCTGTGAACCACACTTTGTTAGGTCCCATACACACACAGACCACAGTGATGGTCTTTGTATTAGAAAGTTTATACTACAAGCTTCCACAGGAGAATAATCTGTCTTTTTAGCTACATTAATATTAGTAAATTAATACAGATGAATAGTCCCAGGCATTGAGATCAGCTTGGAATGGCCTACAGCTACCCTGGAAAAACAGTGTTGGTCCCCAAAGGTTTTGCAAACTGCCTCTTTAAATGGTCCCTGGAACTTTCTACTGCCTTGAACTGCATTTGCATTTGAATTAGCAGAGAGTAACTCAGACCATTCTAAGCATTTAACAGCATAGGCAGTTGTCTTCCAGTGCCTGTCCCTGGATGTTGTTTAATCTGGTAGCATAGATGGAGTTCATGTGTTTCAAAGTTGTCTGAAATTGGAGAAACATGATCAGTCCAAGTCACCTTTTCTTGTTCCGTTGTCAGAGGTGAGATGTTTTTTCTCAGTTAACACAACTGGAAATGCAGTAATTCAGTGGATCTCAATCACCCTTACCTATTCTAAAGGATTTATATTTTTGACATGAACTTGTGAGAAACATAAAAAAAATATTAAAAAGTATGCTGAATGTTCTGGGTTTTATTAGGAAAAATATATTTATTGTAAATGAAAGCTTGTCCTTTACTTTAAATGCATACTTCAGTCAAGCCTTATTCCACAGAACGCCTCAGCATGTCCTCAAGTCTTCAGTATATTTTTTACATAAAAACATGATAGCAGGAATAACTAGAAGTTATGACTTCTCAAGACAAAAGTGAAACAGGGACACAGTATTTTTAGAGCATTTAGATTTCATTCATAATTATTAAAACCAAGTTCTAAAGTTATTTACAACTTACTGAAGAGAAATATCTAGCTACATCATATTTATACATATTAATCTGCTCTGCCACTACAAGTTGGCAGTGGAAAAGAGAGGTTTTTTAACCTATACCTTATCATTATGAGCAGTTATCTTCATAAAAGTGATAACTTTAAAGTTTTAAAGAAACAAGAGTTTGGAGATATATTAGTCCATAAAAGTTTGGGAGGAAATAGGAAAAACACTAGACCATGGCTATTGAACATCAGGTATGCAAAGACACCAAAGACAGTAAAATTCTGCCTCAGATAAAAATAAATAGTTTTTTCAGAGAAAACCTGCATAGAGAACCAAAATAGATTTTTTTTTAAACTCAATATTCAGAGGCATCAGACAGAGCAGAATGATTGCTCATGTGGTTTAGATGTAAAATTCCTGTACAAATATGCACCCAAGATTACGTTCACTTATTGCCCTAAACACTTATCCCTGGTTCTGTTGCCAGCCCTGGTATATCCCGCTCTGTATCTGTGCAGCTGATACAGACAATCACTGCTACATTTTTAGGGGAACGATGCACTTGCCAACCCAATCACATCTTAGTTTTTTCAGAGAACTTACTTCCTTTGTTAAGGTAATTACGAAAATTGATGCTGTCCTCTGGCAAGCTGGTAGCCTGTCTTCATGTCACTCGCACTGTCCGTACGCACAATTACTTACAACAGATGTCTACTGAATCCCCTACAATAGTCCAGTTTCCCCTGTCCTTATATTGGTTTGCTAGCATCATTTCATATTTATGCCACATAATCATAATACACCTGATGAGAGAGAGCACACACCTGCATTTAACAGAGGACAGTACAGACAGTGCCCCATCAAACACGCATGGCAAGTATTTCCATGAACAAAGGAACAACTTCATTTGTGGTCTTTTTCACAAGACAGCTATCATGTCATCCTCAAAAATTTTTGCTTTTATTCAAACTGAGAGTCACTTTATAACTTCAGTATACTTGACTGATCATGATGTATTACAAATGATCCTTCCACATCACTCTGCAAATATCTGATGCGTAATAACAGAGAACATATTGACAAACATACACTATTTCAACAGCTGCAGTAGAAGCACAGTGCAAAAGTCTTTTCCCTTTCTTTTCAAATACTCTCATAACTTTCAAAAAACAGTCTGCTTAAAATTCCTCATGTCTCCCATACACTTACCGCAGTAATAACTCAGCATCATGATAGCCAATGGGATGAACTGGAATTTTTGGGAGACCTATACCACTGGCTTTGTCTAATCGGTAGGTGTATTCTGAAAGCAAAAGACAGGTATTTTCATATTTACAACTCCTAGAAGGAATCTGTACAGTACATAGCACAGTCCTAGCACTGGAGTCAGGGATAATCATTTCACTGTCCACATTTTTTCAGCGATTTCATTCTCCATGCTTTATCAACACATTTTCAGACAGACGCTAACAAAGGTTCTCCCATAGTATCTGCAGTCATGCATTTAGAGCGGGCTGGAAATTTTAAAACTATTAATTAATTTTTTATGTTGAAAAGCTTTTAGGTAGAAATATTCCTCTGCATGGGAAAGAACTTCAGACTAAGCCACAGATAAAGAACAAGAGCAAAGAGGGAGCCCATAGTCTGATGCTTAGAATGTTCAGCTGGGAATTAAAAAAATGTTGCTAGTTGATAAGAGATGCAGGTAAAATCTTATACACTGGGCTACTGAATATGCTGTTTTGCTGTTTTCGTTACCAAAATGAAGTCTAAGTTTTGTTCTGACGAAGCTCAAATAATTTTTATAAATGAGAATCTTAATTTTCACAATGCAGACAAAATGTGATGTTTGCAAGCCAGCAGGTATGGAAAAGAATAGTTTCCTCCTCAAAACAACACCGAGACCCTTGTAGGCAGACAGGGATTCATCTATGAGATCACTGACTCTAGCATGAAGGAACCAGAAATCTTCCAATGGTCTGCTCCTGCCATGCTGCTGTTGTGAACGTGTACCCTCTTCCAGCTCAAGTGGTGCTGGCTGGAGGCAACTTTCCCCATCGCATAGGGACTAGTCTTCTTGAGGTGACTGCCTCCCTCAGATATGCTGGCTCAGGTGCTGGCATGAAAGGTTCTTAATGCATTTCAGTCAAAATGATCTGGGTTAGGTGCTAAATGAAACAGCTTAGGCAGAGCTTAAACAAGCAGCTGAGGAAGCATGAGGTGAAGGTGATGAACCAGCGCGGAATGGTTATCTTCTCAGGAGGCTCAGCTGCAGCCAAGTAACGTGAGTCTCAGCATGAAAGATCTCAGCATTACCAGCAGGGGCTCTTCTGGAGGGAAAGCAGCCCAAATGCTGCAGAAAGGAGAACTGCAAAAGCAAAGAAACCTGTGAAGTGTGCAGGCTGGCTCCTTGCTGACTTACTGATGAGAAGCAGAAAGAAAAGGCGAGTGGTTCAGCTGTTGAATACTTGTGTCATGATCTCTGGGCTAACTTGGGTAATCTGTGAAGTTAAGCAGCCCAGCACTGCACTGTGTGGCTCCCTTAATAATCCCTCACTTTCTCTCATGCACTATTTGCAGAAGTGGCCTACTGACATGACGCCCAAAGCTGCCTCTTTTGAGCAACAGAAAGACCAAGAAAAAACATGTTTTGTTCCAAGGGAAAGAATATCCCCATTATCTTCCCCTTCCTTCCTGAAATCAGACCCTCAAAGCATCACTTCTCTAGTGTCACTCACCTTTTGCAGGATAACCTGGTGTCAAAGGATCCCCTGCCCCATTCAGATTTAATACATTTCCACGCTGGGCTCCTCCACCTGGAAGGTTCCAGCCATTTGGATAGGGATCTGCTTCTGGGGCGCAGTAGTCAGCAGGGTCAGAGTACAAAATAACTCCCTTGGCACCTGCCAATTCAGCATTCTTCACCTGCAAAGCACATCTCCAGTCCCTATCCAGTCCTTTATAGCTTGACACCAGAGTTCATGGCGCAAAATAAAGTATTATGAATTACAGTGATTATTCCTCAGGGTTTTTTACAGTGCTTGGGGTAAGTAAAGGGCCCATCACTCATATCATAAAATTTCCTGAAAATATATATGCAGATATCATATTACATATCAAAGAGATTTGCTGTTGCTTTGAATTTTAGTTAGGAGAAACTGCAGTAACATGGAAAACATCCTTCACAGTACTACTACATAACCCGAGTTTGTATTCTGTCATCCACATCAACACAATCAACTGATTATTGAAATGTACACATCATGGATGGAAGAAACTATCAATCACATCGATGCAACCTTCTCTTTCAGTTAGTCATGTATTAACCGTACTTACCTAAATGATCTCCTGAATGTATCTCAGGGTTCAGACCACACAGAAAGGTTATTACGTGAGAGCTTGAAACTGTCTTTGGCTGTGAACAAGACTAACTCCAAAGAATGTGTATCTTAGGCTTACTATGACAGAAGGGCGGACCTGCATGCTGTTTTGATTTAAAAAAGTGTTCTCATGTGACTTTATTATTGTATAATTCTGGTTTGTAGGGAGTGAGAGAAAGAAAATATATCTGATTCTGACATCGCAATCTGTCCTGCTACTAGGTAAGACAGTGATGTATAGTGACTGAGTGACAACTAATCCTCAACAGTTTTAAGTTTGGGTATTTTCATTCAGAAATACCATAGCTTTTTTTTGGAAATACAGTACTTGCCTTCATCGTCTATGCTATTCTTGCACACCATTAGGAAGTTGGAAAATGCCAGTACAGTTCTCCAGGTTTTATACAGGCTATCAAATTCTTCAGTTAAAGATAAACTTAGATAAAAGTAAAGATAAACATAAAGATCTTCAGATAAGCAATCATTAGAAATACTACCATAAGAATGAACATGCCATCCCTTTGTGTCAACTAGGGCATACAATTTCCAAACCACAGGACAACTGCCCCTCTAGATATTAGTAAGTCTGAGGTGTTTGTATTTCATTTTAAGAAAAGATTCCTAGACAGCAATATCTTCTTCAAGTATTTTCCATTCAGATAGTATCTTTAAGAGTGGTAAACACTTTAGTGAAAATATTATCTGACCCAGAATATGAGTTACATGTCACTGTTCACTGGTGAAAATGGCATGTATGTAAACCAGTGAGTTAGCCACTTAACAGCTCACAGAAGATTAGTCTACAGCATATAATAAGAGTTGGCCTTCCAGTGAGAAAATTCAGTGTTTGATATGCTTAGGTAACTAAGAAATGCAAATTATAGCACTGTTCAAATTAGGGTTAAACTAATTTTTGTACAAGAGCCAAACACACTGAAAAATAGACTGTCTTCTTACATCCCTGTTGAGGAAATAACTTGAGTGTATGCCTGAAGTATGCACACGATTATGTCGTTTCCTGTCTGCCCATGGAAATATGCGGAAATACGTAGTTTAAAAATATTTATGATAGGCGCATTGAATAAACAAATACAGAATTTAAAATAACCTCCATCTAGTTACAGTCTCTGCCTGGTGTACAGAAACCATTATAAAGAAACACAATATAGGCATCTTAAAGCACAGTTGAACAAATAGGGAAGCAGTCTAGTTCAGAGCTGGAGTGTATTACCCAAGAATGTCAGTAATATTTTTGGAAAAATTTCTAGCATGCAAATGAATATAAAAATACATAGCATTTTCCAACTTATTTACTTTTATCCTATAGATGTATTACATCTATTAAATACATATTTTACAACTCCTACTGAAGAACCATGATTGAACACAGCTCTATTAAAAACTCAGTTACACTAAAATTTCCAGAAGACTTCAGGTAAGTGTTTCAGTCTCTTGAAATCAACTGAAGGACAGCACAAGTAACATTTTTATATAAAGGCATTACCTTATTTCCTCTGAAGATCTTCCCATACCTGGCAATAACAATCTTTCCTGTACAGTTAATTCCCATTTCACGTTCTAGCTTAAAGAAGTCCTCGGTGCGGCCATAATTCACATAGACTAACTCACCCTGATAGAAAAAGGTAAAATGTGAAACAAGAATTTCAATGAGCATGTCAAAAGAAGGATGTGATCTAGTAAAAAAATAAGCTGGGAACAATGAGCTCTGGGACTGGCTCTGGTATGAAGAGATCTTCAATTTAATTTCAAAAAGGTATATGCTTAAATCTCTTATACTGATGAAAATCGCTGAATTCAGGTGATCACATATAACAGCATACAGCATGTCCTGATAACGCTGTGGTACAGTCATTTTGACTGTACTGATTTCATCAGTAATCTGCTCTAGTTGCAATTTCTTCTTAAATTAAGCAAAATTAACTCAGGACAAATTCATGAAATAAAAGGCACTGTATTTATAGAAGGTGAACAGTTTCACACCTAGTAAGATTGCGGTCCTCTTTGTTCACAGAATAATTCATAAATGCAAAGATTATTCTTGGGGAGGCTTTTCTGAAATTATGCAGTAATTTTCCCTCTCAGTAAATCCAAGTATAACTCTACTGAAGTCAAGACATTTCTTTTAGCCTATTTAGATTAAGCAAAATAGAAATTTGGTCCTCCATTTTAACATAATTTATTTAGACTATCTTGTACAGAATACCAACATTTGTAAGCTATTATATTTTTATGACAAATACAAAAATGTTGATTTCAGTAGTTTGTCTTACCTAATTGCACATCTGTAATTATAACAATTAATAGCAACCCATTCATTAATTCTAATTAATTAATTAATTAGGCAGCCTTCTCCCTTCATTGAACTTGGTCATTTATGCAGGAATTGTTAAAAAAATTAATAAGCAGAAAGAGAACCTATGACTGATGATTGCACCTGGCAAGTTCCAAATATCTCTGTCCACAGCTTAGTTCTGGTTTTTAACAGAATGGCTTTTAACATGAAATACATGAACACAGAGAACTTAGAAGAGCCCTGAACCCACTGAATATTCCCACTGCTGAGCTATATACACGCAGTACAGGTGCAGACAACTGCTCACGGGAGAATGTTATTGCTAACAACACTAGCTAGGTACCCAGAGCTTTTGTCAAAGTATTATAAGTAATAAAATGAACATAAGCATCATATTTTGAAAAGACAATCTGTCTTTTATTTAGTGTTTTCTTCAGAAGCAATGTTCTTATATTTAATTAAAATAATTTTCTAAAGAAGGAAGCAGCAGCTTTTAAAACTTGTTTTTATTATTTCACATATTCCACCACTTACTGTAGCTCTCCAGAAACAAAATAAAGCAGTGACGTTATTCTATCTGTCTTTCGGGATATTATGTTATGATACAAAGTCAGAATCCATTAATTTTACCTTACATTATGTTCCAAAATTCTCACTGTAATTGTTGGAACACTCAAAACTGTCATATCCTACGGTACAGACTATCTGCCTGGTTCTCCAGCTCCCTTTGAGTATCTGAGGCAAATGAATACAGGATACCTTTTGTTTTCTGGACTTGCACAGCTTATTAACAAACTTCAGAAAGTACATGATTCTAAGACTGGGCTGTGTGAGTAAAAGCATTGTTAGGAGGTTTCAAAGTCAGATCCAACTTTAACGCAGGGATTGGACCAGATGACCTCCAGAGAGCCCTGCCAACCTACATTATTCTATGTATAGACGGGAACGGTACTGAGCGCCACAAAAACATTTTCTAACATTACAAAATATTAATTGAAACCACTAATGATCATAGGACAGAAAACTCCTGTTACACAGGCCAGCTTTATTAAAGAAAGCCTGTCAGCTGGTGCTATCTGTACAAGAAGATAGAAAGAATTAGTGTTAAGCTCAGATCACAGCAACACTTTTGCTGCTAGCAAAAGCCGTTTTCAAGCATACTGTATGCTGTGCAGTTATACCTATCAGTGTGCGCCTTGGGCAAGCAGCATTTTGAAAATTAGATTGTTCATTTTGCTACATAAATGTAACAAGTCTTATTTGTTCACTAAAATGGGGAACAATAGTGCATAGTCACAGAAATATTTGGAGGAGCTTATAGTAGCTAACAACATTCAAGATTTATTACCATATTTTTTAAGGAAAAGGTAAAAATAAAATCCAATTCTGATTTTATTTTACTGGAGAAAAAAAATAAACATATAAGTATGATTGCTCAATTTGAACATTGCTCCATTGCAAAAATCCCAAGAACATCAGAGCTAGGACATCTTTACTACCGGTGACATGTCAGGTTTTGAACTAAAGCCTAACACCGAAGAATTTCACATTCTGTATAGCTCCATGCTATTCTGTGCTATGCCATGCTACACTACACTATGGTATTCCATCTTTTCTATTATTTCTATTTCTGCTTGTATTTCTACTTCTGTTCCTGTTTCTATTTCTGTTTCCATTTCTACTTCTATTTCTTTTACTATTCCGCTGTGTTACCTCAGGCATTCCTTGGGCTGAAAACGCACTGTAGGGTGGCACCACATCTCTAACAGCCTCATATCCAGGAGGAGGAGGCTCAGATAACGATGTGTTGAAAATCTAGTAGGAAAGACGAAAAGAAAAAAGTAAACCAGGCAATATGGAAAAGAAGTACTATCTGTTCAGGCACATTTCACATGCAGTTTAAAGGACTCTAGTTTTAGAACTCTAAATGAAGCGTGGCCAATACTTTAGCAAGCACTGGGCATCCTTTTCAGTAGGCAGGTTCAACGTGTGATCTTGCAAAT